GGTGCCCCGGGGTGGACCGCTAGAGACCGACTAACCCGCCGGCCATCCATCTCCTCGCCGCGGCCCAAAACTTGAGATTGGGGGGGTTTTTTATAGAGGTCCCCATCCTCGCAGCCCAGGCGGTTAAGCCAAGGCCCTCGTTCCCCCGGAGATCGTCATAGACATGACATAACGACCCCGAGGGTTTACGATGTGAGCCCAGGCCCGACATTGGTCGGACCATCGCTGTAGGGGTCCTGGCAAATACCACGCAGACCCCTGATGTCCCCCGTGCGCAGCTGCCCACACGGGGGTGGCCATCTTGGCCGGTCACGCCGCGAGATGCGGTCGTGACCAGGAGGAGTCGCAGTTTGCCGGGGTGCGGCACCTCCCCACAGAATGTGGGGAGGGGCCAATGTACCGGTCCCTGCGGCTCCACCTCCCGTCCCGCCGGCCCGGAGTTAAACCTCCGGGTAGTACCGACGGGATGGCCATCCCAGGGTGCGCGACCCAGACCTCGGAATATGTCCGAGCGGCCCGCGCACCCCTCCACCCCCCGCGAACCGTGAGGCGACTCCTCCGGTGTGCAGTCGCGGGTATGGGTACCTCTTCCCGCTCGAACGCAGGACTACTCCTACGCTGAGCGGATTGAGGGCAACCCGCTCTCTCGGCAGAGTGCCTTGAGAGTCGGGTTCTTCTCCTTGTCCTCCGGGAGGAGTGCTCTCCCCGTCCCGGAGCGGAGGCCCCCCCAACCCCGAAACCCCACCCCGAGACTGGTGGTGGAGCAAGCTCCACCTAACGGCCCCAGCCGGCCGGGCGATTGGAATCAGGGCCGCCTACCCCTACCGGCGATTGGGCCCATCGGCCCTGTGGGAGTCGCCGGGCTCCCCTGCAGTGGAGGGATTTACGTCTCTCTCTAGCAACCGCGGGGCTGCAGCCCACCGCGGTCCGGTTTTCTGTGGGGGTTTTCCTTCCCCGTTGCCGCCGTTCGCCAGCGATCCTCAGGTAGGGGCCTCCCTTTCGGCCGAGACCGAAAGGTACTGCCGCCGAGCCTTCACCGGATCGCCGGTACCCCTCCACCACGGTAAGGTGGCAGCATGGAGGGGAAGATGTCGTCACTGCCATTGCGTCGTCCGGGGGCTGCGGGCCCGAAGATGTGAAGACTGAGGCAATCCGTGCCGGGGCCAACGGACTGGGCACCATGTGGGTGCAGTGCCGTTTGTCTCGGCTAAAAAAGTGCTGGACGGTGGCCGCCTCCGTGTGGGGTGGGCCACCGTCCGTGTGTAGGTCCTCGCGGGGTGCCCGCTGCGGGCTCTGCTACCGCTGCGTTCGGGATGGCCACAGGGCGGCGGAATGCGGCGGACTGGTGGAGTGTCCTGTCTGCCGCGACGCCAAAAGGTCCTGTGGCCACCGTATGGGTACTTCTCTTTGCCCAATGGGGGGCAAAGGGTGAAAAAATGGCGGCAAAAGGTCGGGCTACGCTCCCCCTCAGCACCCCAAAAAAGGAAAGAGCGGACCTCCCCCCACTAAGGGAGAGGGAGCAACCGCTAGAAGGGTGCAGAAAGGGGCGCCCGCAACAGTGCGCGCCCCCTGCCCCTAAACGGGACAGGTCCCAACCCAATAAAGGGGAGGAGTTTGAGCCACCGCTCCCCCAGAGGTCAAGTAGACCGCGACGAAGGGTTGGGTGGGGGAGTAGTGGCAAAAAAGAGGCCGATAGTGAGGGGAGCGAGGGCAGTAGGTCTCGCTCCCTCATTACGAGGCCAGCAGTAGTTGCGGTAGTTGGCCTGGAGGAGAGGGAGGGTGTACCATCACAATAGGTGCACTTCTCCTGCAGGCCAACTTACGCCGCGCTCGGGCGTTTCAGGACCTGTTTGTCCAGGGGTTGCGCGAGCGCGGCGCTGGGATTGGGGTCGCCGCCGAGCCCTACTCGGTCCCGGAGCAATCGTCCTACATTCCGGGGGATGCCAGGGACCAGAGGGGTAGGTGCTCGGTGGCT